TTGTTTATATTCATTCTATTCAATGTTGTTTATCACAACTTGTATTTATTACGTTTGATGTACGAAGGATCAATTTCAATGAAGCTCAAAAATACTTATTTAAAAGCAAACAGACACCTCTGGGAATAACCTACTTTTTTGTATTCCTTACACCTATATCTTGTATTATTTAGATTAAAGATAATCATCAGAGAACATTTATTTTATAAAATTTTTAATAAAATATAATTTTCTCTGATAAAATATAGCTAACACTTCTGAAATTACTCTCTATTTGTTATTGATGTTTCATTACAATTGGTGCAGATATTCGGAAGATTAGCCCGAAGAGACAGTTAGACAAAAATTTAAACACAACAATAAAAATGCAATAAAAGGCAGTTACTTCGATATTAAAGATCATCATCATCATCATTGCAGTCTTTCACAAGTCCACTGCTGAACATATGCCTCCCCCAAGGAATACCACAAAGCACGGTCCCAAGCCACATGCATCCATTTACTTCCTGCATGTGTTACCAGTTCTTCACTCCATCTAGTGGGGGGATGCTCTAAACTTCACCTGCCGGTACGAGGCTGCCACTCGAGAACCTTTCTTTCCCATCGGTCTTCGAGCTAAATGACCGGCCCATTGCCACTTCAGCATACTAATTCTTTGGGCTACATCGTTTACTCTGGTTCTACTGCGGAAATCCCCGTTTTTAAGTCTATCACGCGGAGAAACGCCGAGAATAGTCCTCTCCATAGCTCGCTGAGCGACCTTGAGCTTCCTCATCCGGCCAGCAGTGAAGGACGACGTTTCAGTTCCATAGGTCATCACTGGCAAGACGGGAAAGGGTCTCCGGTTCTCTACACTCACCATACGAAACACAGCAGCGTAAAGCTGCAATTTTACGCTGGTATCTGTGAGATATCTGTATCACCTGATGGTAAGTGGTTGCTGCGGCCCAAAGACATCTACATCAATCCTCGTTTGCTAATCAAAATGCAGATGCGTTGTCACCTGTGAGGACTAAGATGGAATGCCTTATTTCCAGTAAAAAGGGTCTCCGGTTCTCTACATTCACCATACGAAACACAGCAGTGTTAAGCTGCTATTTGACGCTGGTATTCTGTGAGAGCGTGGTGGTTCCTTTATAGTTGTAGCACGAATGGGTCGAGCCGACCCATTCGTGCTACAACTAAACCAGTAATATAGCTGCAGCATGGCTCTACCACGTATAAAAAAGTTGGATTTACCTAGTCGGACTATTTGTCGCAACAACAACTGGCGTAGGTGTGACATGGCTATTACACATGATCTTTGTTTTTGTCCATGTTCATCTTAATACCTTTCCGTTGGGAGACAATACTGAGGTTATTGAGCAGTGCTTATGTTATCCAGCGATTCTGCCATAAGGACTATATCGTCGGCAAATCGAACGTGAGTGATGTACTCGCCATTGACGTTAAAACCGTATAAGAATGGATGGAAAGGTCCAGTCCAGTAGCTTGAAAATGTCTTCCAATGCACCAGTGAAGAGTTTCGGGGATATTACGTCAACCTGTCTTACACCTATCTACAGTACGGTAGATTTCGTACTCTGGTTCTGTATTCGGATAGTCATTGTAGCGTTTCTGTACAAACACTTCAGCACTTCGATATACCAACAGTCCACTTGGCACCGCTGAATGGATTGTAGCACCACCCAAATTTCGACTGAATCAAAGGCTTTCTCATAGTCCACATATGCAAGACAAAGTGGCAGATTGTACTCTTTGATTCTCTGCACAATTTGCCTTAGTTTTTAATAGCAATTAGTTAACTTTAATTTCTTGGCAATTGCGTTTTACCCGTATTTTCACATATAAAGCCACAAACTCAACGTATTCGCGCAATATAATGATTAATAGTTTTACCAAATAAAACATATTCTCAATTGCTTAACGGCCTGCTTGTTTACCGCATCGGAGTACTCTACACTCGGGTAGAGTTCGAATCCTGCAATTTGGTTGAGATGTTTTTAGTTTTATTGTTATATTCTCTAGTATTCTAGTCCACATGGTCTACAAGTGGAAGTACTTTTAATGCTATCATTTAAATTTATTAATATAGTTTATTTACAGAAAATATTTTTATCGCTATACAATGAAACTTTATATATATATTTTTCGAATAATTGAATTAAGGAAGAAGAATATGTACTTTATATGCGTTAGATATTGGTTTAACGGAGACTGATCTAAGTATTTAGGTGAAGTTTTGTAATCAGATATTTTTTATGTTCCAAGTTTATTTAAGTAAATGTCATCCCTGAGTGAATAATATTTTTTTCTAACGCCGAGAAAAGCTCTTTCGCCTAGATACTTAAATTGATATGAGATTCAGCCATTTAACGATACAATTCGGTTTGTAAAAAAAAATCGCTTATGAAACTACGAGATCGCACTTATTTTACGCAATTATTTTATTATCATCGAATCATATTACGGCTGCCATTTCTCACATAATTCAGATAACCGCAAGTGGATAAAAACTGTATTAAAATATTTCATTCCGTTCATTCGTACATACGTACATACGTGTAAATATACATACAAACATGGATATATACATTCAGAGATGCATACGTAAATTCATACATATCAATACATACATTTCAAGCCAATAAAAGTGCAGAAAAATGATGTCTTCCCAAATAGCTTCCGCAGTAAGTTGGCTTAATAGTATTTATGGTGGGACCTGCCGCATAACGGCGTATTCTGTTTGCCATTTTGAACTATTGCCCCTTAGCATATTGGACCAAAAAAATTTTACACGTTTTAGGCGCCACGGTAGGTACACAATCGAAATAAATAATAATAATAACAACACTGGATATCATATTATAGTTATCGCTTGCCGTTTTCGACTCAAACTTTATAATTGTATTTAAAAAATTTAATATAGGCAGGTACAAATACAGTACATCATCATCGTCATCAGTATGATGTATTGTAAAATGCGTTTTTGGTATATATAATTATAAAAATATTATAGATAATTATACATAAAATAAATCACTATGTAAGCAAACTGTGTGTGGCTTAAGAGGCGACAGAGGGAAATGAAAAAGAAGCTGGGAAGCATTATCTTCTTCATAATATCTGAAAAAACCCAAAGGTCGGTGAATTTTTGACAGGCTGAAATGGTAATGGTTAATGTACATTAATGGTAATTGGTAAAGGTACATGAAAACACTTTATTCTTCTTCATGTTAATTTTGGTTTACGAATATAATATAGATAAACTAAACGATAAGATATAACATGATTAGTGCATACATCATATCCATTAATTATTAAATTGCCTTGATTATTTTATTTCAATTTTTTCGTCAACCTTAAATATTCTGACAAATTAGGTTTGTTGCTACGTAATTAATAGTTTTATTAAAAAGACAGAGTTTACGTTTTGTGGTTTAAGTTTCCATTAAATTATTTATTTTATTTCACATTTAAAATAACTGTAAGTTAATATATAATGTGGTGGTTTTTTGATAAAAAATATTTAATATTTGTTCTACCAAAAAACGTTAAATTAAATCTAGTACAAATTAACTATTCCCATATTATTAAAGTTAATATGAGTTAGGAGCTTAGTAATTTTTATATTTTAGTTAATAATTTTTTATATTTTTTTCATAGAATGAGGGTGACAAACAAGCAGACAGTCCACCTGATGGTAAGTGCTTGTTGTGGCCCATAGACATCTATATTTATCCTCAATTAAGAACCAAAATGCAGATGTGTTGTCACCACTAGGGACTAAGATGATATTCGTTTCTAGTAAAAAGGGTCTCCGGTTCTCTACACTCACCATACGAAACACAGCAGCATTCAGCTGCTATTTTACGCTGATCTGTGAGAGCATGGTCCTATCCCGGACGAGCCGACCCATTCGTGCTGCAATCACAATTTAGCTGCAGCATAGCTCTAACACGTTAAGAACTTATTAAAATGCATTGTTTGCCAATAAAAATAATAAACAGTAAACGTTCCAACTGGAATACTTTCATGCTATTTACAGGAGCTATCTATTTTTACACTTCATGTCTACTTTATAATTTACGGTAAACCGTGGCCGGGCAGCCAGCTTTCAATACATTTTTAATCAAACAATAACTACTAAGGTGTAGGTGAACGAAATAAAACTGACATTCCCGTCGCTGATGGAACAAACTAGACGCTAAACCGTTTCTATTGAAAGACATAAGATCTTTTTGGCACATAGTCTTCTCTTACAACACCAATGAGACTATATGGGTTGATTAATGAACCTGCCAACTGCAGCACACGTAGATACACACGCACAGGCACACGCACGTAAACACGCGTGCACACACACACGACCACACACACACACACAAACAAACACACACACACACACACACACACACACACACACACGCGCGCGCGCACACGCAAACACGTGCACACGCAGGGAGAGAGAGAGAGAAATAGAGATAGAGAGATAGAGAGAGAGAGAGAGAGAGAGAGAGAGAGAGAGAGAGAGAGAGAGACATAGTGACATCCTCGTAGGAATAGTCAGAATAGATTCCGAGGACCTCAAAACGTTGAGATCTGATGAAACCTCGATCTTCAAAAACTGGGGTGCAAGCAATAACTTTTCGATTATTTGAAAATCATTGATTTTGAAAGCGGAAAGTTTTATCAACCCTTCTATCTGGTAACGAGGCATTAGTTCTCAGGAATAACCCATATAAATTTTGATACTTAATTGAAGATAAATATAGGTGTATAAGGGCCACAACATTCACTTACCATCAATTGGATATGTGCTCGTTTGTCACCCTTATTATATAAAAAAAAAATATGCACTCTTTATCACAAATTACTATTTAATACAGAATGACCGACCGCTCGCAATCAATTGACGATCCAGTTTATTATTAATTGATTATATTTTATATTTAGCGAGATATTATTGTATTTGTGGTAAATTAGCAATTTTTTGACAGGTGGGGTGGCTCCGTGCAGAGGATCAGACCGTGCTGACTATGCACGATCGTGCAGTACTAGGTCCTCGTTACACCGTTAACTTGGATGCACCACAAACATGGCAGCTTCGCATCCGACCACTTCGAGCAGAAGATCGTGGGTGCTACATGTGCCAGATAAATACGCAACCGACCATGATTTGGCAAATTGGTTGCATAGACGTGTTTGGTAGCTATATATTTATTATATTATTCAGTTTTGCATACCTTAAGCGAAAGCGCAAGGTATGTTCTACTATCGCCTAAAAATTAAGATTCCAACGTTTTATCGAATAAAATCGTATCTAGCAATCATATTATACATATAAATGATATAAAAAGCACATTGTTAGAAAGATAAATGATTGTAGAACTTCTTAATATTTTATTGCTATTTTTTAATAAAAAAGGGGTTTTAGTGGCTTATGGTGTTTTTTTTTTATATATAGAATAGGGGGCAAACGAGCTTGCGGCTCACCTGATGGTAAGTGACTACCGCCGCCCATGAACAACCGCAACACCAGGGGAATTGCAGATGCGTTGCCGGCCTTTTAGAAAGGTGTAAGCTCTTTTCTTGAAGAAGTGTGGATTTATCATGGCCACAAGGCTTGTAAACACAATAACTATTGAAAATATCAATTGTTTAACTCAATCTATTTTTTAATCTTTTCATCTATCATGTGGGAACCCACTGAATGTAAATGGCAGTGTAATTTTGTTTTGTTTAGCTATAATTAATTTTTTTCGGCTCTAAAATGGCGAAAGTTTCGTTGATTTGGTAGCCTTGTATGTAAATTATTTCTGTAAATGGGGAGCTACAGCCACAGAGTAGTTTACTAGTTTAGTTCGGCTTCAGTCGCCGTCGTGAGTGGACATTATTTCGGTTGTTTGTAGCGGCACAAAAAGATCGCTGTACAATACACAATATTCAAATAACCAAATTTCTTAAATACTTGATTATAATAATAATAAGAGATTTTTTATTACAATATTTTAAAAGCACAGAATAAATAATAGTAGTACGTACTAAAAGTAAGTAGTATATTTTTTTATGTCATGGGTAACATTTTTATGGTTTTCGAGGGTGTTGAAACCGATAGGGTTGTCGAAATGTAAATCCAAGATGGCGGCCGCAATAGGTATCAATTTTTTCATCATGGGTGTCAGTTTCATGGTTTTCGAGGGTATTGAAGCCGATAGTGCTGTAGAAATGTAAATCCAAGATGGCGGCTGCAATAGGGTATCTATGTTTTCATCATGGGTGTCATTCATGGTTTTCGCGGGTGTTGAAGCCGAGAGTGCTTTCGAAATGTAAATTCAAGATGGCGGCTGCAATAGATATCAATTTTTTCATCTTGCGTGTCATTTTCATGGTTTTCGAGGTTGTTGAAGCCGATAGTGCTGTCGAAATGTAAATCCAAGATAGCGGCTGCAATAGGTATTAATTTTTTCATCATGGGTGTCATTTTCATGGTTTTTGAGAGGGTTGAAGCCGATAGGGTTGTCGAAATGTAAATCCAAGGTGGCGGCTGCAGTAGGTATCAATTTTTTCATCATGGGTGTCATTTTCATGGTTTCCGAGGGTGTTGAAGCTGATAGTGCTGTCGAAATCATTTAAACCACTTTAAAAATTCCGTATAATCATACCTACACACCAGCCAAAACGTAATACTAACGTTGTGGTCACGTTATCGAAGTACGGGGAATGTGGCTGAACGGCACACGGGTAGATATCGCGTTACTACGTAGAAATATGATCGATTTCTCCAAATGACCGCCAGAAGATAACCAAATATCACAGAAATGCAACTACTACAAACGCTCCAAGAGGACTCCCAGCTGCTGGTAGGCTACTAAACCGTACAAATAAGGTTGCATGAAGTTGGTCTTTATGCTCGAAGACCAAAAATTGTCTTGATGATGAAGTAACTTTCGTTCGTAAGGATTAATATACCATGCGTAATAATAACGCTCATAAATCACAATTTCTTAATCAATAATTTCTTGTCACAAAATACCTTAGTGTGCTTATGTATAAGAAATAGGCATAATATGGTATCGTGGACTTTTTTTTAGATGAAACAAAGGTCTGTATTTTTATAGAACATTGTATTTACGTATCACTAGCTATTACGTTTGCGCACGCGTAAAAGTATTTCGAGAGCGCTTTTTCTTCTGACTTGCTTAACAAAAATCAATATTTGAGGCTAGTTGAGAGGTGCAGCCTAATGCTAGAAAATCTATACTAATCTTCATAAACTTGGCTATAATATACTAAAATAATTTTGTCTAATCGGGCTGGTAGTTCCGAAGACAATTTTTGTTTGTTTTCGTGTTTAACAAACAAGAAAAAAAATAAAACTCGGCGTTACATTGTGACGTTACTTAACCAGACTGCGGAGGCTGGCCGCTATAGCGGCTTCAGCTGAGGATGCCTCGTGTAGATGCGAAACACGTGTCATATTTTCGAGAGTAGTGTGTCGTGCCTAGTGTGGTGGTGCTGGGGATGGTAGTGCTGGGATTGAAGGCGACAGGTATAGTACGCGCGATTGAGGGAGGGTGGGAGGTACCCTTGAAAATGGGCAGGATTTTTCTTTCTTTACGAAGAATTAAGCAAATTAGTTTATAACAACCCCAAAATAAATTAAAACATTTTATGCGTTCTAAACATAAATAATAAGTGCTGTCTAAAGGACCTTCTCGTCTGTTCAAAGTTCAGAGTTATTGATTTAGAATTTATATTCGCTTCATTGATTAAGCAATGAATCATATGATTCATTATTAGCCAACATTAACAAAAATAATGGAAACATATCTTCAATAATGTAGCATTCAGTTACATTTTTATTCATAGAAACAATCTTAAAAGGTATCATGTTTATTTAATTTTTAGAAAATTAAGAACAAGTTTTTAAGTTAGCGACCAAATTTTTATATAAAATTACTAACAGCACCCTAATCAAACGAAAAAATATGTTAAATTTGAAGCCTTCAAGAGCACACAACAATAATATTATAATATTCTTCATTAAGAAATAACTTTTCCGGACTCGTTTTTATTAGGTGATAGAACCAACGATTTTATTTATTTCTGCTGCCAAGATGCAGTTCGCCCACTACTGTATTCTGGATAGAAGGGTTAAGCCATTATGATAATAGGCTGTGACTCATTTAATCTTAGTCCTCCGAGGGTATGATGAATCTGCCAAGTCACAGTTCGTCCACTGCTGTGTTCAGGATTGAAAGGTAAGGGAGCCATTATAATTATAGGATGTGGCTAGTTAATTTTTAGATCGCAGATTTCATGAACTTATGGCTATAGCCACTATAGTGGGCACTTGTTGAACCATTGGCTCCTTTTTCATTGTAATTTTATAAATTCGCGACATTTTCTACGACACGCAAATTTCTAGCCCAATAATATATATGTATGTCACCTTTTCTTTATCCCTTAACTTTTAGTGATAATTCATTGTTTCACAATGCACAAACCAGCTTCTTTAGAAAACTCCCTCAGTGACTTCGCCTTTGGTGTATGTTACGTGTAAATAATAAATGTATTGGTAGCGGACTTGTTTATCAAACTGTAAAATGTTCAGTAGACCAGATACTCGTTCCTCGAGCACAAGTTTAAATATTTATTTTTCAATATAAGTCGCGCGAAATTTTGCTGCTTTTTTTTTTCTTCAAGTTTATGTGATAACTTAGCGTCTCCTATAAAGGTAACGAATTCTATATAATATTTAACATTTATTAAAAATATCGTTGAAAATCAATTTATTTCATAACTAATGTCGTTTATACCGAATTTTGGTGGCAGTAGCTAGTCTCAACGGAAACTAGCAATCCCACTCAAAAGTGTATGCGAAAGCACAAATGTACTTCTCTAATATGTTACTCTTATAGTCCAATTGGACACAGAAATCTGACACAGGATAGCACTTGCCTTAAATAACTAAGGCAGTTAAATTAACTAACTAGTCAATTACTAAGAAATCTATAACTTGTGGCCGAATCCGCAAGTAACGCACAAAAGGTTTACATCAGAAATAAGTTTCTATTATATTTCTCTGAAACTCCATTTTCTCTTTATTAAAAATTGTTATCTAGAAATAGTTAATCAGCCATGTATGCCAAAAGATAATTCTGTCATTATTTGAATTTTGCTGCACCCATGCAATAAATTTTCTTAGCCTGCTTATATTCGGTAAAAACGGTTACATACATATACATAATACATAATCATAATACATAAACTCACACGCCTGTCACCGAGAGAGGTAGGCAGAGAATACGAAATTGCATTTGACACGATGGCACTTACAATCTGGTGTACTGTAAGTTCCTTTGTCACTTCAATTTCATAAAAATTAAATTACAGTCCTTTTTCTAACATATTAGGTATATTCGTAAATCATATCAGTGATATAATATCAGTGACATTTGTATGAATGGTCAACAAAGAAACATAAATTGGAAAATAATTGTCCATTTCATGTTTCTTTTGTTCGAACCTCGTTTCAATAAAATTAATTTTAAGGATTTTATCGCGTATATTAACTTATTTTATATTCTCGACATTTCGAGCACTTTACAGCACCAATGGTCACGGGGGGACTGAGGTGTATGACGTCACAATGTCATAGTTAATCACGGCTTCGTCCAGATTAAAAATTATTAATTTTTGTTCCGATCTTTGCAATATAAACTTACAGTATCTTGAAGTATTGCTTGGGTTGGTATTTAATTTTATTAATTATGGGATCCCAAGCAGATGGTAGCACCCAGCCATCTTCTCTATTTAAATTAGGATTTTTTTTGATTTCAATAGCCTTGAAAAACATCCTTTGAAGGAATCGGTGTTCTTTAGCGAGGATTTGTACTACTTACTTACTTATCTTCACGCACAATCCCTGACGGGGTAGCCAGAGAGAACAGATCGCCAAGTGTCACGATCCTTACAAACCTCTTTCGCTTCTTTCAGATTCATTATCTTCTTCATGCATGCACGTCTAGGTATCCGAGTACTTTTGACCCTACCCTCTTCGAGCAATTTGCTCACATGGTCTTCGAAAGTTAGTCTCGGTCTACCTCGACACCATTTAATATTAACTTTCGCGCTATATATTTACTTCACCATTCGGTCTTCACTCATTCGCTCAACGTGCCCAAACCACCGAAGCACGCCCT